CTGTTCCATGGGGTGAGGAGGAGCCCCAACATCCTCTGCAGCCCCAGCCCTGCCCTCAGCCCCTGGTCCTGGACATGTATTTCAAAGCCTGGTCACACCACTCTTGCAGAGCAGGGTGGAAATTGTGAAGCTGCACATTAGAAGTGCCCCTCAAAACACTGCAAAAACAATGCTGGATGCACTTCCAAGGCCCTGGACAAGGCTTCAGCCTTGGCCCAGACCTTGGATGAGTTTCCTGGCCAAGCTGGCAAATCAAGGGGCTTCTGGGCTTGTTTATGTTAAAAGAAAAAAAAGGTTTAAAAGAAGAAAGTGCTGTCATTCTGGAAGAAGGCTCACCCAGTCCTTTAAAATAAAACTGCTGCCACCCAGCAGTCTGCCAGGGTGAGGGGGACAAAACACAGCATAAAAGGAACAGAAATCCCAGAGAAAGGGCTCACTGGGTGAAAAGGAGACAGAGTTTAACGGGGAGGGCATTCAGTCCAGCTGCCTGGCTAATGTACCAAATCCAAATGTGTTCTTACAGCCCATGTGGGTCCAGCCTTGCTTTTCAAGGACCATGGCATTCCTTAAGCCTTCCTACCTGTTGTGGCACTGGAATGCAGAGACCTGTAGCATAAGAGATGAATTTAAACTCCCCTGAATCTTCACGGTGCAGTACTAGAATAGTAGATTTCTAATACTAGAATAGAATGATTTCATGTAGTATTGCACCAATACTATACAATTTTAATAAAAAAGCTGCAATTATGCAACTCAGCTCCCAAAGAGTTGATTTTTTTGTATATATTTAATTTTTTGGGAGGTACAGCAAACAGGGACCCATTAAACCTTTTCTCCCCCTTCAAACCACAAAATTCCAGTGAAGTGGATCCAGGGCACCAATCTGTTAAAAAATCCAGCTTTCCTGAGCTGGCTTTCAGAAAGGAATTTCTTCTTCTTGATTGAAGTAGGTGTCCCTCAATGTACAGCACAACTCCTTTGGGGTGTTTCCCAGGACAAGGGACAGAACCAAAGTTTACAAATTTTCTGCCATCTCCATCTCCAAACCTTCTGCCATGAAATCCTGTTGTGGTGAAACCCCAGCTGACAACTAAACATCACACAGTGACTCGGTCACACAGCCCGCCAAAAGTGGGATGGGGGGAAAAAAGGAAAAAAAAAAACTTGTGGGTTGACATAAGAACAGTTTAATATTTGAAACAATGTAAAAGATAATAATACTAATGACAATAGTAATCATAATCAAAAAAATAAAACCCAAGAGGAGCAAGCCATGTCCAGTACAATTGCTCACCACCCAGTGACCTGTGCCCAGCCTGTGCCCCTTGTCACCTGCCCATGGAGGGTAGGAATTGCCCTGCTGTGAGCAGAGATCCATGGGTTTCCCCAGTCTTGGTCCTACCACATTGGAAGAGGGTTAGGGCAGGGCTCTGGAGGAAGATAACTGGGCCTGACCCAGCGCTGCAACTCTTTGCAGCTACTGGAGTAGATCACGGAGGCAAATTCTCTTGCCTGTGCCCAGATGCCACCACAAAGATGACAACTGAGGTGGCACTAAGAGGGTCCAACCAGCAATGTGCCTGAAGAGGAATTCCAGGCTGGACCAAGGACAAGGTTCCCCTTCACTTACATTCACCTTCTCCTCTCCTAAGGGCAGGATTTAGCAGGATCCTGTGGGATGAGACCTCCCCAACCTTCCATGTCTGGAATGTCTCTGAATGTCCTTTCCTGCAAAATACCAGTTCTCCAGAGCAGATCTAGTGCTGTCCTGTGAGGAGCAGCTGAGGGCTCTGGGCTTGTCTCCTCTGGAGAAAAGGAGGCTTGTTGCTCTGCAGCTTCCTAGGGAGGGGACATGGAGAGGGAGGTGCTGAGCTCTGGGATCCAGGGACAGGACACCTGGGAATGGTTCAAAGCTGCTCCAGGGGAGGTTCCAACTAGACATGAGGGAGCATTTCTTTACCAAGAGGATGGTCTGGAACAGTCTTCCTTGAAAGCTGGTCAGTGCCCCAGGCCTGTCAGTGTTTAAGAGGCAATTGGACAATGGCCTTAGTAACAAGCTTTACTTTTGGTCAGCCCTGCAGGGTTCAGGATGAGGTGATCATTATAAGTCCCTTCCAAGTGGAATATTCCCATCTAGTCTGTTCTATGTGAGGAAAAGGAGACCTTGATGGGGAGAGATCAGAGAATGGCAGATCTGTGGGAATTGCCTCTCCTGTGGACTCCAGACCCTGCTCAGCTTTGTGCCTGCCTTCCTGGGCTGCCCCCAGAGCTGCTCCCAGGGCCCTGCTGCAAGAAATGTGCTTGGTGCACGTGCCAGTGATGAGTGGAGGGGAGGCAAGGAGAAGTCTGGATGTGTGGGGAAGATAAGTGTTATCATCAGCACCCAGCTATGCTTAAGGTTTTTTAACTTCATATCAATAGAAAAAAGCCTGAGGCACTGCTCCAGCACCTTTTACTACCTGCTGTGTTTTCCGTGGCCTTGGACAGAGCAGCTCTGCAGTGCCCTGGCACTCGGTGCCACCTGCCTGCCCTTGGCCCTCCTGGCACCAAGCTCCTCCATGCTCCGAGCCTCGGTGCTCTCCCTGCAGTCCCAGCTGAGGGGTGGGTGGGATGAAGGAGGCTCTGTGGTGGCATCCATCTCCATGACCTGCCAGTCCTCTGCTTGGTGGCCAGAGGAACCACGTGGGGAGAAGCCAGCAGGACACAGAAGAACCCTACCAGTTCCCAGACCCACGGTGATGGTGTTTGCCTTTCCACTCTCTCCCCTGCCCCCCGTGCTCCCTCCACGTGTCAGGGGCACAGCTGGAGCCACGAGCCCGTCCCCACCCAGAGCCAGGGGTGCAACCTCTCCCCAGGACACGAGGCCAGGCAGAAAGCAAAGATTGGGGCTTCGTTTTCAGCATCAGCAAATGCTACCTGCTTGTCCCTGAAGTCCAGGCAGACCTGGATGGCCCTGGGGAGGTGGGCAAGGTGCAGAGGGGTCCAGTCAGGGTCAGTAAATGCATGGTATTGTCCAAACCACTGCCCCACGGCCCAGATCCCCTC